ATGGACCCTGATAGGTAAAATCATTCTCCGCTTGGTTTTCTTCACTTTTTGGTCAAACCAGGTGATATTTCCCTTTTGGGATGGAACCTGAAGTGGACCCTGAAGGCAGTGCCTGATGTTCTGTACACCATTTTTATATATATTCAATTTTTCCGCTATTTTCTGGCTATTTTTGGATATATTACCATATTTGGAACTGGACCCTGGACCCTGACATGTTACCCAACATGATGATCAGCAATGAGCCCTAATTTTTCCTGATTTTATTGCTATTTTACATTTGGAAATGCACCCTGGACCCTGAAAGGTCAGCTGCCGCTAAAAATGAAATATTCATTGAAAGCACCAGGTACACATATGAAAAGTGCAATGAAATCTCCTAGGAATAAGAATGAAATATCCATTGAAAGCGCCAGGCATCCAAATGAGAAGCACAATGAGATATCCTGGGTTTAGCAATGAAATATCCAATGAAAGCACCAGGTATATCTATGAAAAGTGCAATGAAATATCCTAGGAACAAGAATGAAATATCCATTGAAAGCGCCAGGCATTCAGATGAAAAGCACAATGAAATATCCTGGGGCTAACAATGAAATATCCAATGAAAGCGCCAGATATATATATGAAAACTCCAATGAAATGTCCTAGAGCTAAGAATGAAATATTCATTGAAAGCGCCAGGCTTTCATATGAAAAGCAAAATGAGATATCCAGAGATAATGAATGAAATACTGCAGGAAATCACAATACAATATTAATGAGATCACTTAGGCCATTTAATGAAAAAACCAAATGAAATACACAGGGAACTTAATGAATGAAAATACTAGACAAAATAATGAGTTATCTCATTGAACCTCTAGGCATTATACACATCGCCTTCCAGGCATGTGTCTGGTTTTTATCATAAGAGTGTATACCACTAGTGCTTCAGGACCAATTCCCATCTGTTTGTCAAAGTCCAGGATCGCTCGCACCATTCCCTGGGTCTCAGTCTCTCTCTCAGCGTTGGTTCCCAAAGGTTGTACTATTGTCTTCCGTCCATCTCGCATGCAATGCTTGGCAACAGGAGGTGATCGAAACCATGCAGAAACCTCTGAAGATAGAAACTTGAGCTCGGGAATGTAGTCAACTAGAACCCGAGCCCAGTGCAGTGCCTGTACTCTTCTTGAGTGAGGCCAGTCAATGTCGGCCACCAGAGTCTCGATGGTCATAGTCTTTCGTTCCTTCTGAGCAACACGTGAAAGATGACTTTCCAAGTCGAAAGCACTGGGTTTACAATCCTCCAAGCGTATTGCAGTTCCTGCAGTCCCTACCTTGAGTATACTTTCGCGGCCGATGCCTCCTTCGTAAACAGAGCAGTACTCTTGAACATTATCGAGGATTAGGCATTGTCACGGGTAACCCCTGGGTACTTTTGGCCATACCCGTACCCATACCCATGAAAACCCATACCCTCAACCATGGGTAGGGGTTTCTGCGGGTAAGGGTACGGGTTTTCGTGGGTTTGGCAGGTTAGGCGGGTCTTATGACGGGTAGCTACTGTATTTTCATTCAGTATTGATCTTACTCTCAGTCACAAGTCAAACAATATCAAATTTTAGTGTATTAACACGAAGACAATTATAACTGTATTCTATTCAACTGATTATGTAGAAGCTTTAGACCTGTGCATGGCACAGCACTCGCTGGAACAGCTACAAGTAACTGACTACAAAATACATTACAGGTAAAGTGAAACACATGAGCCAACAGACATCTTGAGATGAGGAGAAAGGGCCTCATCATCGCATTGTGGTTGTGTGGCCATTGTGTTGTCGTCGCATGGTTGCGGCACCATCGTGTGTCGCCATGGTCACATCGTGGTGTAGTTGTCGCGTCGCTTGTGTTGTCGTCGCGTCGCTGTGGTGTCTGTCGTCGTCGCATCACTGTGGTGTCTGTCGTCGTTGCGTCACTGTAATGTCGTCGTCGTGTTACTGTGGTGTCGTCATCGTGTCGCTGTGGCGTCGTCGTTGCGTCGCTGTGGTGTCGTCATGGTGTCGCTGTGGTGTCGTCGTCGTGTCGCTGTGGTTGCATGGTATGGTTGCCGCCTCGCTGACACGACGTAGCGCCTGCATCTGCATTGTTGTTGGGGTGTGCATGGTTGGAGCAGTCGTCGTTGTCCCATGGTCCCCATGTCCTCATTCGTCGTGTCTGTGTCCCGTGTCCTCAACTCCTTGTCACGTCGTCATCCCGTGTCCTTCCCGTCGCATCGTTGTCGTCCCATGTTGTCATTCCATTGTTTTCCTGTCTCAGTGAGGTGGGTTAGGATGAACATGGGACAGAGGGTACTCACCGTGTCCTCGTAACATTGTTGTCCCATGTCCTGATACATATGGGGGGCTAAGATGGAATAACAGATGAGGAAGACAAAAAGAGACACGAAAGAAGCAGAAGCGCTGTGTGTACAAGGCACTTTAGGGCGGGTTTGCTCTGATTCTGAACCCGCCCTAAAGTGCCTTGTATATATAGCGCCTCTGATCAGCTTCTTTCACGTCTCTTTTCTTTCCTTCTGCACTCCCCTCTGCCCATGCCATATTTACGCCGTAGCTACACCCCCTTGTATAGTTAACCCCCTTGTATATACTTTTTCTTACTTACATGTGTGTAGAATATTTCATTAATTTAAAATGATACACCCTCATAAAAATACAAAACCAAATACAAAAAACTTCCCTTCTCCCAGTGTGACTTGCAGGGGATAAAATACCTTACAAATTGTTCAGGTATCCCTTATGCATAACTTGGCAGCAATAAATTAGTATTTTTTCGATCTTATTGCTGCACAAACACTGACCAAATAACATGACGGGTATTGCTACGGGTACCCGCTAACCCCTGCCATGGGTACGGGTTTGGTGAGGGTTGGGAATATCAAACCCATACCCTTACCCAAGTGTACCCTTACCCGTAACCCGCATGGGTTGCTAAACCCGTGACAATCACTATCGAGGATTAGGCACCATTCCGTTTCTCCCCACTTAGTCGTGTCATTGACAGCCTCCCGTAAAATAGAAAGGCTGGAACCAGTCATGGTGTCGAGAGCTTTATGGACTGTCGAGTCGCTTACGATATTTCCGAACCGACTGTATACGCGTTTGACATCGATGTGGGATTTGATTGCAAAGTGCCATATGCCCAAGGCCATCGCAAGGTCTCCGGTAGCAAAGTGGTTGCGTGCAAGTAAAAAGGAGCTGATAGTGCCCACTTGAATCTGTAGGAAAAGGTAAGCGAGGTCGAGATATTAGACTCCATTAAAATACATACAATCAGATGTGGTTGTTGCTTCTTTACCACCACAACACCATTCTTGCGAGAGGCAGCCATACATTCCGTGAGATGCCAAGCAACAGGTGCATGACTTTTGTATTTCTCCACAAGGGCTGCAATACTAAACCTTCCTAAAGCTTCCCAGGTGACGAGACTGATGCTATCCGTTGGACGCCGTCCATTCGTCGAAGCTCGGAGATGGACATCGTCATCCTTAGCCGCAAGTTCGTAGATCTCACGATCAACATGATTAGCAACGAGATTCGTCGCCCACGTGAACAAAGAAGGACGCGCATAAAAGAAGTCGGCAGGAGAGACTGATGGTGAGAACGGAGCATGATGTTCTGAAGCATGTGGTGAGCTCGGCGAAGGCGCGCTGTGCTTGTGCTTATAGACAAGAGTTATGATGTCTGAAATTTTGACCTTGTTCCGCCCTTGTAGAAACCGAGCAACAGACTTGGCGTGGCATACACCTCTTGGATCAGGCTGTCCAGAGACGCGGCTTGGGTTGTAGAACAAGATCTTCAGAAATTCGCCGAGAGAGTCAAAGCCAGAGTCCTTAAGCAACTGCTCCATCCGATCAAATTTCGATGCGAGCTTTTGCGCGTCGTCTTGTGGAGCTTCTATCAGTCGTGGTTGACTTGAGGATCCGCTTGGACAACGAAGCTCATTGAAAGGAGAGCCGAGAAGAGGCAACAACAGCTCGGGAGATGACAATTTCCCTGGCTCACTCGGATGTGAAAGGAGGAGGGAATTCGAGGTAGGGGGCAGAAAACGGGTGATATAATGCGGGGCTTCCGGCACCTCAACCAGGGGCATTTTCTTATAAGTTTGGACAGTTGTGACATTGTTTTCCATAGGAATTAATGTATCAAAGAAAAAAGAATAGAATTTGGATAGGAAGGGAGGACAATAGTGCTGTAAACACGTAAAAAGCCAAGAGGGAGCGTGCAGTTGTTGATGTGTTGTTGACGCGTAAGGGTTTCAAAGTCCGCAGATTACATAAACATTTCCTGACACGGTTTTTGGGGCGCGAAGAAAACAGGACTAGGACGACACAGTCGATAAATTCAGGTGAGGAGAAATCACGAAACTCAAAGCCTTATTGAACGTCATTGGGGCACTCAATTTTGACCCATCCAAAACTAACAGAGCAAAAGACGCTGCCATCAAATTCTACGCTAAAACCCTTGATGAATACGAAGCCCTCGCTTCTTCAGCGATTAAGTGAGGGAAGCATGCCACGATTGGACTCAACCCCAAATCTGTTCAACCCGAGCAACACAAACCTGAGACCATTGACGCTAACCGAGCGATTGACAAACTCATCTCTCAAATCAGCAGAGACAGCAACAGGTCGAAAAGGGGGAACTCCCCATCAGGATCAGATGACGACGACGATGGAGATGAACCCTCAAATAAGAAATGAAGAATTTTCGAATCCGAGATGCCCTGGCACAATCGAGAGGAAGAAGCCAGGCGAAGCGGAAACAGAGATTGCGAAGAGTCTCGACAAACTCTCCAACTCTTCGCCTGTGATTACAAAGTCGTCAGGCAATGGATCCAAAATTCCAGGACTGCGCCGCTCAGTTTCCCCACTTCAGAGTGGGACAACATTATCAAGGGACAAGCCGTCAACCTTGACGCAGTGTTCTCCTCACTGCACCATATTTCCGCTCCTAAGGAGAACATTGGACGCGTGGGATCAACTGAAATATCCCTTGGTCGATCAGATCCAGCCAAGAAAGTCCAAATGAGTGGCGAGTGGACCAGCGCCTGGAATGCCACTGTCAAAGTGATTAAATTCGCTTTCCCTCACAGGGAACAAGAACTTCGAGACTATGGCGAATACATCGAAGGCCATTTCTCTGCAAGGGTTACTTCAGCCCACCGAAAAATTATCCTATACGATGTCGCCATCCGAAATGAAGTTGGGGGTGGTCAGAATGCACTCCTCACTGACACCCACCGCTTTACCAGGTTTTACTCTGCCATTGTCATGCCAGATGGAGTCGAATCCGATCACGTCAGGTTGGGACGGAATCAAGCGTTCAACAGGGAAGAACACAAAATCCGAGATTTGCCACTGCTTCAACTCAATCAACGGCTGCAGGAATTCCACAGATGACTGCAGATTCTGTCACGCCTGCAAAAAATGCAAGCGCATGGGCCACGGGGAAAGGGATTGCAATATCAAAGAAGGATCTAGCACGTGATTTGCGCCCCAAGTATCTAAGGTATAACATTTGGGAGGGCAGCAATATTTTTTCTCGTTCATCCACTGACTGGACAGAGACGGCCTCACCATTACCTCAGATCCCTTCTTCTGAACTCAACAATCCCATTGCCACCAAAACGATCCAGGAAAACCCCCACCTTTTCGACATCATCACGCCCATATTTGTGGATCGATTCGAGGAACTACTTGAAACTCACCCTAACAAACCTTTCATTAAATCCGTATGCAGGGGGCTCCGGGAGGGTTTCTGGCCTTGGGCCGATACTTGCCATGGTGACTACCCCGACACACTTGACCTCTTGCTCCCAGAACCAGAAAACCAGGAAGAGGCGCAATTCCTTAGAAATCAATGAGACCATGAAATTTTCAAAGGCTGTTTCTGTGAATCTTTTGGAGACAAAATCTTGCCGGGCATGTACTGTATGCCAATTTTTGCCATTCCCAAACCACATTCAACAGACTTGAGAATGGTGACTGATCAGAGTGCTGGGAAGTTCTCACTCAACAGCATGATTCCTTGTGAGCAGATCATGGGATATCCTCTCGACAACTTACAGCATCTAGGTCAATTCCTCATTTCTATGCATGACCGTTTCCCTCAGTCACCCTGCATACTTTTCAAATCAGACATCGCAGAGGCCTACAGACTCCTCCCGGTTCATCCTTACTGGCAGATCAAACAAGTCAACCGCATCGCCGGATCACTGCATGTTGACAGAAACACCACCTTTGGCGGACGAGGCTCTGGATGCAACTGGATCGCATTCATGTCACTTGTGTCATGGATAGCGAAGAAGAAAAGGGGCATTGAACTCCCGGGTACTTACTCAGACGATTCATTTGGCCCTGAACTCTCCAAAAACGTTGCATACTACCCTCCCTATCGTAAACTCATGCCAACCAGCCAAGTCAAGCTGCTCCAATTGTGGGATGAAATCAACCTACCCCACTGTAAGAGGTGTTCCGTGAGCTAGGGAACTAGAGTGGGGATTCTGTACCAACAACAGGTGAGCTGGCGGACACGGAGTCACAGGGATTACTATGGTGTACAATCGGATGCCAGTTACGGTCTAGTCTCGCGCTTACTTAGCGGAGATCGTTAGCGCTTCGGATATCCGTTGCATGATCTCTGCACTTTCTCAGGAAATCCTCGAGAAAGTAGCAAGCAGGAGAGAGAGAGTAAATGACGAAAGACGATGCCCAAACACCTCAAAGAGAGTATTCAGTAGCTTTACTAAAGTCAAAGCACTTACTATACTTCAGGGGGAATGCGATACGACGTGATTCCAGACGCAGAGTACACATATTGGTGGTTTGAAAGATAGAAAAAGGTAGTGTTACATCTGTGACTACAAGTATGTAATGCGAGTTGAATCGCGTGCTTAAGTAAGCGAATGTCATGTATGTAAGAATAACAGTAAAGTAAAGATATGCCCGTAGTGAATGCTCTTGATAGCCAGGAAATTCGTGAAGTGGGGATTATAATAGGTAAGGCATCCGTTACAAAGCCCCCCTAATTCCCACTTAAGGAATTGAAACGTACAGGGATGGAAATGTCTGCGATGCACCTCCCATGCCAGGGGTCAGGAAAGACTGATAGAAGTTCATCCACTCTCGTGAAGTGCGACGAGTTGAGCGTTACTGTCGGTCGACGCGTACCGTGGTTTGTACTGTGCAAATACGACTTCCAGCCTTTACGTGTCAAAGGCTTTGCCGTCCCACGTTCGAGCGCTTTGGCAATGTTATGAAAGATGAGGTCGCAGCCTTCTGTCCATTCACCGCTCCAATGATCACAAAAGTCCTCCATAATCTCCGTTGTCGGAAAGAGCCAACGATGATAGTCTGAATTCTCTGCAGATACGAAACCGTGTACGAGGTTCTCTTCTTGCGCCGACATTTGGTCATGAAAAAGAGGGTCGTCGAAGAAAGGGGAAGAGGTAACCGCTCCACGGTGATGCACAGTTACTTGAGTAGTCCATCCATGAATCGTTGAACCAAGGCCGATCCGCCGTATCGCTTTGCAATCCAAGCTGTGGGCCCCCCCAAGCTAATGAGCGTGCACGCGTGAGGACGCCGAAGGATGTCCGCTAGTTTACCCATATACTGATCTCGGAATGCGGCGCCTCCGTTGACGTCCTTTAAGTGTTCTTCTTGGAAGCCAGCTTCGTATGTTCTCTTCGTGAGTTCAGCTAAGTCTGGAGTCATGATGGGCCTGAATGACTTCAAGTCGCTAATTCTCGTGGCCATGATGAAACACATGTTCCGAGCGATGGCGAGGTCGAGGAGGTGACGCGTGTGTGAGATCTCTGAACTAGTTACAGCCCAGTACTTCAATCTGGTGAGTGTCCGAGTGTCCGGAAATAGAATAATACTCTCCTGATGAAAAGTAACGTTCCATTCCAGTCCAGCAGGCGCCTCCCAGACGGATCCCACATAGGTGATGATTGCTCCAGCCTCTACGATATTGTCAATCGCGTGTCGACGAAGAGAGGGGGAAGTCCCTCTGCGAGGTTGGTAGGTTCGAAGTCCTGGGGATGCGGACCTATTCCTGGTCCCTGCGCGAGAGCTTGAACGAGAAGGTGTATTGCTCCCATGCCCTTTTGATGAATAACTAGGGGAGGATCGAAGCTCCGACTGACTACCACCTTCAGATGGAACGTCCGCATTCGTCATTTGTCTCAGCCATCGTCGACCCGTAGAGGAGGCTCTGTTTCGTCCTCGTTCACGGTTGCGCCCGCGATTGTAATGTGTCTGAGAAAAAGCTCTTGAAGAAGTCGGTTGTCCCTCCCAGTCACAAATAGCGTTATGAACCGGTGTGTGCTTAGACCTGTGGAGTTCTCTGATTTCCAAGGAATCTCGTACCATACTGATGTTCCCTTCGACCTCCATCGACTCCGTCGGTTGCGATGACGTAGCGAAATTGTTCAGGGGTTCCCAGCGGCGAAAGAGGACCATAGTGCCGGCCGCCTCATGACCCACGTTGGAACCAAAGCGGACATAATACTCCCGTGCTACGCAGAGGGGAATCCTTCGACGAGACCACCCCTGAAAGTCCACGACGTAGTATGTCCACTCGTCGTTGAACTCAACAGTTGGGTCGGGCCGTCCCTCGCTGCACAAATCTTGGAAGAAATGGTCGAACTTGAGCATCGTGGCGACTTCATAGTCGAGGCCTCTGAGCAATGAAGAGTGAACGTCGCCTTGCGCTTCCAGTCGTTGACTGTCATAGGCCCGCAAGACCGCTGGTGACAGAATCGTGAATCGTGGTGATGCGGTGAGTGCTGAGGTCCAATGATAGGCAAAGGGAATGTGGTGTTGGACGAGGTTTGGGATATTGACGTGTCACCAGTCTTGTTCGAGATCGATGAGAACTCCCCGCTTGTTAAACGATGTAGCTGCATATCCTTGGCATCATTTACAGTGTGGTGGTCGAGTTCCGCTTCCCATCCCGAAATTGACGCGGTCCACCAGGACAGAAAGCCCAAATAATCAACTGCGATCCTCTTGGCGCTGCAGCCCGTGGCTTGTAAATCTTCGTTAGAGTCGAACGCACGTAAGAGGAGTCCCAGGTCGTGACAGGGGGGTCGAGCAGAATTGCATGGAAAAGGGTGATTGGCTAGTGTTTGAAAGTCCGGTTCGGTCCGGTTTTTTGATGCCCAGGGGCGTTAACCGTAACCGTAACCGGTCTGCCTTTTCCCCAGAAGTCAAAAGACCAGACCGGACCGCAAAAAGACCGCAGACCGCGGTTTTTTGCGGTCTATAGACCGGTTTCGGTCTGCATCAGTTTTAACCGGTTTATGACCGGTCTTTAGGCCAATATTTTAAAATTATGAATCGGTAGATTTATTAACATCTCTAATAGCTTCAAAACGAGCCCAAGAACGTTAAATTCCGTTAGGAATTGGTGCTTCCATAAAATAAGTCTGGTACATCTATTATTCACAAAAGTAATTTACATTTTAATTCATATCTCTCTCGTTTTTTTACCAAATCGTACGTTCTTGGGTGCGTTTTAAAGGGTATTTAAAGGGCTACAAAAGACCGGTCCAAACCGGTCAAGACCGGTTCACGTTAACCGGTTTTTTTGCGGTCTTTACATTTCAAAAATAAAAGACCGTAACCGCAGGTTCGGTCTTTTGCGGTCTTGGTCCGGTCTGGTTACGGTCTTGGTCCGGTCTGGTTACGGTCTTGGTCCGGTCTGGTTACTGTCTTTTTCCAGTCACGAGACCGGACTTCCAAACACTATGATTGGCAGCGATCTCGTCGATGCATCCTGACCAATGTAGGAGGTCGTCGTCGATGCACTCATGGATGTTCATCGGAATGATGAAAACGCCCATGGAAAGCTGCTGCCCTGGCGTGGACCTCTCGAAATCAAAGAACCAATCGTCGCCAGTTTTGCTGATCGCGGATTCGTTGGCAGTCTCGGGTTTCAGTGGCACAAGTGGCTACCACCTTTATCATAAAACTAAGGCACTTGCCTGTAGAGCTGTGTGTATAAGTCCACAAGTTTTATGAAAGGCCTTTCATAGGTGTGTCCTGTGTCTTTCTTTCTCATAAAGGCTATGTTCTTCTCATAAGATATAGGCAAGGCCACAGAGTGCTTTTCATAATTAAACCTGTGCGCTTTCAATAGGTATTTCATTCACTGGGTTAGGTGTATTCATTGCCTTTTTCATAATTAATGGTGTGCACTTTCATTGAATATTTCATTAGGAATTTTGGGCGCTTTCATTGCTTTTTTCATAATTAATCCTGTGTGATTTCAATAAATATTTCATTCACTATGTTAGGTGTATTCAATGCCTCTATCATATCTAATGGTGTGCGCTTTCATTGAATATTTCATTAGGAATATTGGATGCTTTCATTGTACTTTTCATAATTAATGTTGTGCAATTTCAATAAATATCTCATTCCCTAGGTCAGGTGTATTCATTGCCTCTTTCATATTTAATGGTGTGTGCTTTCATTGAATATTTCATTAGGAATATTGGATGCTTTCATTGTACTTTTCATAATTAATGTTGTGCAATTTCAATAAATATCTCATTCCCTAGGTCAGGTGTATTCATTGCCTCTTTCATAATTAATGCTGTGTGCTTTCATTGAATATTTCATTATCAATTCTGGGTGCTTTCATTGTGCATTTCAATAAATATTTCATTAGCTAGGTTATATGTATTCATTGCTTCTTTCATAATTAATGATGTGCACTTTCATTGAATATTCCACAGCTTTCATTGGGATTTTTCATTCAGTATCTCAATATTTCATTCCAATTTCATATCTGCCCCCAGGGATATCATTATGATTTTTCATTATATTCCATGATAGCAATGAAATAGCTATTACGGTCCATCCAATGGGTCATTGGGAGGGTGGTCACATGACAAATTTCCAAAAATGGTAAAAAAACAAAAGTTGTAGCTCTTTACCATAGCTTCCAGAATCAGTTGGAATTATGTCCTAAAGTGCTTCCATTGTGGAGATATAAGGTAAAAGGTTTTCAAAAGCACTGCGTTTTTTTTTGTTTTTTGCATTTTTCTTCATGAAAAGAACACTAAACAACATGATTTCAACAGATTTAGAAAGCTAAGAGAAGGGGCTACAACTATTGTATCGTGGG